TTTCTTTTTTTTTTCTATAAGTGAAGCAGCACTTTGTCCATCCAAAGAGGTCACATAATCACCATTCATGTTTCTGTGTGAAAGACCCAAGCAGGTGTGGAACCAATGGATTTAAACACATTTCAAAAGAAAAGGTCTAAAGTGCTTGTTTTTAGATTGGATTTCTTTTAATTTACTGYAAGTGCTCTTAGTTTCACTGTTTTCTACGAAGGAYTTCAGCAGTTCAGTGACTCTAAAGCATCTAAAACAGAGAAACGGCACTTTGTCTGCACACAAAAGGCAAATACTTTAGCTTTAAACATTTTACTGGCCAAATATAAGCACTGTGTTCACCGACAAACATTTACTTTTCTGGAAAGAAGAAATATACACATTAAAGTTTGATTTATTCCTTCTGTAATAACTTAGCAGCATCCATGGACCTGAAAATAATTCAAGACCTTCTGCTTCAACATTACCAACAGAGATAAATCATTCACCGAGATATCCATCAGGTTCTTGCAGCTTCACTACAATATTTATAAGTTTTTCAGCATGTTGCAGTTCATTAAGGAGAGATTTCTTGTTGTCTTTAAGATTGGACCTACTAAAAGCATTTTTTATAAATTTATTACAGACTAAAGCTGTCAGAAGAATACTAAGTCATCACTTTCTCTCTCTAACAGAAGCTTAAATCTTAGGGAGATTTACCTTAACGATGCAAATAGTTGTGCAAAAACAATGTAAGTCACTTTGATTTCTGTCTTTTATYTTCTGTGACAAATTGCTTTAAATAGCTAAAAGCACATTGTAGGATAGAGTCTATTGTAAAAAAAATCTAAAATGAGAACCATTTATTAGTGGCTGACTTGGGTGTTTTTGGTGCTTAAACATATTGAGTTGTTATTTTCTGTCAGATATTTTGTATGCAGATTTATTTATTATTTTTTTAAAGAGTTATTACAGAATCAAATTCAGCGCCAAAGGAACCTGAATAAACTGGCTTTTAACCATGTTTTCTTGTCGAAAGTTTCTTTTACAGTACTGGGCAGATATTTCACACCTGAGTTCCTTTTCCCAGAGAGACTWAAATGTTAACGCCAGGCTTGTAATGAATCCGGACTTGAAGTTTGACCAAGAACTGGGAAGAAGATTAGACCAACAAATTTGCTGTTGATTCTGAGAGATCAATCAAGGCATTTCTCTGAAATGTCAGTTAATCGAGACACATGTCTTGAGTTTGCATGTTTTAACTCATTAGTCAGGAAAGAAAGTGAAATTTTCTCTATTGCAAGTATTCGAAAACTCTTAGGAACAAATTGGCTTGGAGCAGTTACACTAAAATTATCTTAATTTTCTAATTGCAAATATTTGTTATCTGCAGCAGCTCCAGATTGTCCCACCAGAACTTAAACCCTCAGTTTTATCTTTTCATTTCAGATGTCGTGTTCAGGGCTGAGAGCCTCTTAGGGGCATAATAAAAAAAAAGAAAAGAAAAAAATGTGAAAAGCTAACGTCTGATGGTTGGCTCAGACGAATGCCTCAGGTATCACATGTTTTCCTACTGCCCAGATTTTAAATGGATCTCTGTATAACATATAAATGAGGCTGCTGCTGAGTGTTAAAAGATTTACCTTATTTTTTTCAACCATTTTATTTATACTTGAGCCATCAAACATGTGGACATGAATTTTTGTAGCAACCAGACAAACAAACCTGAACATGAACCCCCAACTCCGAAAGGTTAGATCAAAAATCATTTGTAGATATAACAGACACAGCTCAKTGGTCCTCATTAACATTACTCAACAAAAGGCAGTATAGAAGTGATTGGGTCTGACTTTTCCAACTGGTATAAAAGTCGCCCTGCCTGATTTCAATGAAAAATAAAGACTGATGTTCTTTGATCAGTGAATTGCACCTTCCTCTTTCTTGGCTGCAGTTACAGACAAAYAATCCTTTGAACAGACAACTGATAGGTGAAACTGTAGAGTTTGGATGACAAGATGCTTTAGATATTGGTTTAATGAGCAGGGCAGAGATGGACGAGTGGTTTTCTTTTTTTTTAATGAGCCAAAAGCTATTTTTTTCTATTTTTACCTGAATGTGTGAACAGAAACCAAAAAAGCAATTATGTAATGTCATTTTTGGTAACAACCCTGCTCAAGTCTGACACTGAGGAATGTCACACCATATTTCTGAATCATTTCTTCATATTAGTCAACATTTTACTTAGTTTAGCTTAAGGGGGTTGATTTTGATGATTAAAAATACATACAAATTAAATTATTCGAAAAGAGATGCAAAATCAAGTTGCACGCACATCATTTAAAGTACATGCAAAATACATATATTTAATTATGATTACAATTATTTATATAAAGAACCAAGTGCTCATAGAAAATTAGATCAGATTATTTTCCTGACTTTTTTGTAATTTAGCTAAAATTACTGACATCATAGCAAATTTGTTTTCTTTGCTTTTTTAGCATTGTCACAGTAAAAATAAATAATAATAAGTCACTGACTTGTTTTGTCTTACAGGATATATAAATTGTACAGTTATTTAAATTAAAAAAAATGGTCATGTAATTAAACAAAGTACAGCTAGAGTTAAGTTTCAAAGTTTGATCATAAACACCGTTATTTTAAGGAGGGGACGTTGAATGAAAAGTCTTACTTGTGTTTTAATAGTGGCATATGAAACTCATATATGTTGTTTTATCTACTGAATATGTGAAAAAGGCAAAATTACTCTGACACTTTTTTTCCTGCTGCACATGAGCACTTTACCTTCCGCTTTTTTATACCTTTTTGTTTTTCCTCTCGGGAATTGAACAAACTTACAAAAATTAAGCTTAACACCTTCCTGTCATGGTGAGTCAAACCACCTCCAGATGCAATCCAGATGCATGTTTCTTGTAAATGTGTCACGCATACATTAACGCCTTTCAGAATGTGCTTTTTATCCAGATCCCATTTTATTAATATCCTGTGCAGATGGGATTTTATCACAGACTGATTGTGGCAATGTGTGTCTAAAAATGTGTTTTGGGGAAATTATCAGTTTTTAAAGCTGACTTATGCTTTATGAACAGTGCAAAATTGAATCTTTAATGCTTACATTTTTTTTTCTTTTTACACTAGCTTTGTCCCTCCAGGTACTCCTTTGTTTTTGTTTTTTTGTTTTTTCCAAACCCACATCTTGTTTGTATCAGCTGGATCTGTTCACTAGCTTCCTTGGAACAGTGATTTAATCTTCAAACWATAACTCTTTCCTGGGAGTAAACAAACATCAACAGCTGTAAAAATCAATAAGTCAAGACAAGTTGGATGCTGCAGCTTTATCAAGTGAACAAGCTCACATTTATAATTTGTATTTAAACTAAACCAAGCAAAGATAACGATTTCAGTGTGAATCGTCTTCATATACTCACACCTTTTTCCCAGCTTCCTCCTGCTGTGCAGCAAGATGTCGACAGATAATGTTGTGAACCCTGAAAAACAGCTAGCTGTATTATATTGAGCAGAACCATCTTTGAACCTCCACTGCAAGTGCTGCTGGTGTCAGCTGAGTTTTGTTGGATGACAAGTTGCAGTTTTGAACGCCACAGATCTTCTTCTTCTCCAACAATTGGGAGAATGTATGGAACTCACAAGCCAGGCATCAAAGATAGTCTGCTTCCTTCAACAGGCATGACTTCTCTATAGATTCTCCACCTTCTGGAAAAAAAGCTGCAAGTTTTGTGTGTGTGTGTGTGTGTGTGTGTGTGTGTGTGTGTGTGTGTGTGTGTGTGTGTGTGTGTGTGTGTGTGTGT